TTTAAGACCATCACACTCTTCTGACATGTTGTTTAACGATTGGCTGCTTATTGCTGGAGGTGACATTAAATATCCCCTCCAGCAGCACTTGACTGCATATGTTTCTGTTTGCTGCAGAATGAGTTTAGTAAATTGAATGAAGTGCGGGGAAATTTTAACATCAATTTCCTCTAGCATGACGGCATGTCTGGCACTCTAATAATTTTATCTCCTTTCAGGCAGGGTCAGTAATCGTGTCTTTAAAAGGATCAAATAAGGATATTAAATCACTGTCTTGCGCTTGCAATTTACAATATTTACAACCTTTGACTGCGAATTATTACCCAGTTTAAGCATTTTCTATGAATAAAGGATAAGACTGTGATGTGATTTTTCTGCTCTCTTTGACAGCCGTATCTCACCGAATGATTGAAAGAATATTCTCAGGAGCTGTAACCAGGTACCATCTCTCATTTTTCAGGCATTTTTTTTTCTCTCCAGTTTTTGAAAGCTTGCGTGTCTTGTATCATTTTGTTATAGATTTTATGAGTGCTGTGGTTAATTTTACTCTGATGCTCAGGGACAGAAAGGTTCACAAAGAGTGCAGACTGAGCTACGCTGACTTTGTATGGTTCCTCATTTCTGAAGAGGACAAAAAGACTGAGACCAGGTAACTGAAAATACCTTCCTTCATCTATTGGATGAACCAAAATGGTTTAGTGAGTTTTTGTCAAAATGACTGCAATTAGCAACTATTATTCTTTCTTTGATCTGATAAAACAAGATCAATCTCCTGATAAAATGGAACATTAACGTGATTATTTTCCCAATGTTCTTCAATGGAAAAATTAAAGGCTATAAAAACAATTAAATCAATGTAACTTTGAATGTAGAACATTTTCAGACATTTAATTACATTTATTTTTACAGTATTATTTACAAAAAACGGTTTTTTTTTTTTGGTTTTAATTCTTGTTGCAGCCCTAGAAAATAGTGTCTAGTAACGATTGCTTGTTGATTGTGTAGCATAGAGTACTGGTTTCGCTGTATGGACCTGGATGGAGATGGAGTTCTTTCCATGTATGAGCTGCAGTACTTCTACCAGGAGCAGTGTCAGAAACTTGAGGCCATGGCCATTGAACCACTGCCTTTTGAGGACTGCCTGTGCCAAATGTTAGATATGGTTAAGCCAGAAATCCCAGGTATTATTTGAAATGATGAATAACTTAATGTTTTGGATTTAATTTCCTAGGTATTTTAGAGTTTGCATGCTCATCTGCCATCATTCTGAAGTAGTCTCACACATCCTCCTAGCAAAAATCACTTGTAATGTGCTTGCTTTGTTTTGTCAGGAATGATCACTCTCAGGGACTTGAAGAGATGTAAACTTTCCCATATTTTCTTTGACACATTCTTCAACATTGAGAAGTACCTAGACCATGAACAGAGGGATCCTTTACTGGCTGCAAGGGTAAAGAATAACAGATTTATATCGTTTTGGTCACTTGGATGATGTAATGGAATTGGTGTTCTGATTATGCACTTTTATAGGATGCTGAGACAATGGGACAGGAGATTTCTGACTGGGAGAGATATGCTGCAGAGGAGTATGATAACTTGGTATCTGAGGAAGCTGCAAACGAGCAGCACAACGATGGGTAAGACTGCGTATCTCACAGTTGAACTGCTCACAGACCACAATATTATCACTGTGCAGCATCATAGATGAGCTAACAACAATAAACTTCAGCTGCGAGCAACCTCTCTAAACTTTCTAAACTGTCTAGACTCAGTCCTGCTTCATCTAACAGGACTTCACCTCATGCAGCAGTTTTAATAACATAAATCCACTTTTGTCATTTGCTGCATTGTCACTGCACTGAATCAGTGATCAGAGGGCTGATGAGGTATTATGTGACGCTTTTAGGATCAGCACAGACTTCTAATGGCAGGATGAGTAGACTTGAAACAGGTAAGACACTGTAGGTGCAGGGTTTAGGTTCCTTCTGTGTTCTCCCCCACTTCTGTTCCTCATGGGTTCACCTGGTCACTGTAAAACACCTCCACATTTGCTCATCAGATAACGGATTAAAGTATGTTTCACAGTTTCAGCAAACTCCAGTATTGTCAGGTGTATTTTCAATGGCATGCGTTCACATGTCTGTTCCTTAACTCTTTTGCCCTCCAGTTGGTTTTGGAAGTGTTTTTACCCCATGTGTAGTTTCTTCATATGAATATCTTCTCTCCAATTTTCATAAAATTGTAATCTTCCAATCAAAGTACATTTTATAAAGGTATGAACTGCTCTTCCCAAGTATTGTGAATTATATAATTGAATAGAGTGATGGCAGGAGTAATTGATTATGAGCATAAAAAAACACTTCTTAAGTAAATAATATTCAAACTGAATGGGCTCGGCTCAGTACATTTTGTCATTTTAATTTCTTTCTTGTCAGCTATGACAATGTTCTAGACCCAGTTGATCACATAACATGTGCTTTTGACCTGCGCAACGAGAAGAGACATCTCTTTGAGATCCCCAACCCTCACTGTAACCTGGACCTGGATGAATATGAATACGAGGACGATTTCGAATGACAGCCAACAACACAACACAAGTAAAGGCTACAGTCTGCTAGTGTGTAGAACAGGAAGTGGACCAATCCTGCTCTCCAGTACTGATGCCACGTAGTTCAGCTAACCAAGGCTTGAGAGTGTACAGATACGCTCCCCCAGCCGCTGGATACCAGACTGTAAACCAGCAGTCTGGCGAGGCTCTGTTTAGCAAGACGGATTGTGCTGGCCCAGTCTCTCTGTCTGACATCTATGCACAACCAGGTTTCTGAAACAAATGTAGCTGCACTGTAGTTTTCAAGCAACTACACTGGAACCAAACCGGTACACTTGAAATATTAAGTGTGCACTGATTATAAATATTTTAATATTTTTATGCACAGAATTGGCTAATAAGACATTCCAGAGATTCACCAAAGTGATTTCATGTATGGTTTATTTCTCATGGAGCTCTGTCGACTTGCCTTATGTGTTTGAGGGTCACATTAATATGAAATAATGCAGTAATTAGACTGACATTTTACTGTCTGTGTGAGAAGTGTTTCTAAATTATAATGTATTTGTTGTTTGCCTCATTTGTTCTAAACCTTTAGACTTTAGTCCAGCTAAATGTTTTCAACAAATCATGTTTGTAACATTTCTATAGAAGTGCTTCATAACAATGTGCTTTTATTATTGTCTTAAAGAGTTCAATAAAGTGTTAAGACAAAAGTGTTTCACACATTCACTGCAGGATGTTATTGCTGTTTAATTTTAAATTTCTGTAAGTCAAATTCATTTCAAATATTTATGGAGTAACCCTGTTTTAATTTTACAAGTAGAAGGCATAAACGTACTAGCTGTGACCAACAATATAATATAAAAAAAATAATAATACAGCTGCATCTCCTCCATTTACAACACGTGTAGCTTATTTGAATACCTGAATAAACAGTTATGATTCAGCAGTGTGCAACAAAATATGTATTTGTGTTCTAAAAGTACACCGGGCAGAAAATAGAAACAAATATGAAAAAAGATTTGAGGTCCAAATTGTAATATTTTTCTTTTTGCGCTACAGTTAGCCATGAATGAGTGTTTTACACAAGATTTGAAGGTGCATCATTCTGTCTTTTTAAGCCCACACAGGCTAAGTGCAAAATGTATGCAATAGCAATGCACCATGAATTTACATTCTTTACAAGTATTTCAGCACCGCCTTATTAGATCTGAATCTGATCCTGATCATTTTAAATGGCACAATTTTCATCTACAGGATATTATGTAGTGCAAACGTTCAAATGCTGTCTTTTACCAACACTCACAAGACAGTAAATACAAAAAAATGTCATGATGACAGATGTGAACTACAACATTAGACATCAATATCTACAATATCCACATCCACTTCAGCACTGCTCCTTGGACCTTTAGCAGACACGAGACTGCTGGTCAGCTGCTCTTTGCTCAGTGGAGCTTGTTGGACTTTTGAGTCTTCAGAACTTCACGTGGAAGAAAAATACATTCGTATGTTACTCAAATGACTTGACTATTCACACGGTCAATAAGAGTGTTTATTGACCTCACCTTTTCAAAAGCTTGTTTCCCTTTGGTTCTGAACAGGGAGACAGAAACCTCTGGTCCCCTGTTAAAAATAGAAATAGCTGAATTACAATCAAACCCACATTATGAAATACATCATTCTTAGTAACACTAATAACCAACAACTTACTGGATATACCCCAATATGTTCATGGATATATTTTCTGATATCTTTACTGTATAAAAATACTGCTGCATTGTTATTTTGACCAGCTGATATGCAAATTGAAGCATGCTATACTTCATTTTTCCCAATTATTTTAATTATTTTTTTTATAATTATATATGTATTTGTTAATTTTGTATTCTTCTTTATTAATTTATATATATAAATGTGATATTTATATATATGCAATTAAAAATTTTTATGCAAGTATAAATTAATAAAACATTTTAATTATAAAATTCATATCAATATTAACCTAAAACCTTGATGTTGAAAAAGTTCATGCCCATGTTACTTGACAACCCTTTTACATATTGCATCATTAAAAACCTGGACCTCAGAAGTGACCCAGTGAGCGTTCATACCTTCAGAGTTGACTTGTTTGACAGAAGGTGATCTGGAGCGGTTGGTGAGAGAGGGCTGTTTGTTGGTGTCAGAGCTGATGAAGGAGATGGCATCTTCTCCCTCAGC